CTATTTGCAGATGACATGATACTCTATGTAGAAAATCTAAGACTGCACCAAAAAATTGTTAGAACTAATACACAAACTCAGTCAAGTTGTAGTATATAAAATCAATGTACAGAAATCTGTTGCATTTCTTTACACTGATAATGAAGGAGTAGAAAGAGAAATTAAGGAATCTCTGTCAAATGGATAAAATCTTCTTTAAAAAAAAGGAAGAAGTAAAACTGTATTTAGAGTCAATATGATCAGGAATGCAGAAAATCTTAGTTTACCAAAAAGCTACCAGATAATCATGAAATAGATCCATCCACATATAGCTAATTGATCTCAGACACAACTAAGATAATCCAATTGAGAAAGAATAGACTGACAATTCAATATAAAAACAAGCAAAAAATTTGAACACAGAAAAGAAGATATACTAATGGCTGATAAATACACAAATAATGCACGATATTGTCAGTCATCAGAGTAATGCACTGAACAGTGGCCAGAATTGCTAATATGTTTCAAAAAACATATTTTAAATTAAGTATAGTTCACACACAGTGGAATGCCCAGATCTTCAATGCACATTTTGATGAACAGTGACAACTGCAAACACCCAGACACTCACACCTAGTCCTGCATGCCCCTTTCCAGTCAATCCCAGGCCCATTCCCTAAGTCAACCACCACTGCAATATCTTTCACCATATATTAGTTTTGCCTAATTTTAGAACTTCACAGAAATGCAGTCATACCACATATATTCTTTTGTGTCTGGCTTATTTCTCTCTTTTAAAAAAATATTTTATTTTTTTACTTGAGAGAGAGAGAGATCATAAGCAGGGAGGGGGGAGGGGTTAGGGAGAGGGATAAGAAGACTCCCCAGTGAGCAGGGAGCCAGACATGGGGCTCTATCCCAAGACCCCAAGATCATGATCTGAGTTGAAGGCAGATACTTAACTGACCAAGCTAACCAGGTGCCCCATGTCTGACTTATTTTTCTTAGCCTAGTATTTTTTAGGTTCATCTATGCTATTATATATATATCATTGATTGAATACTGAATTCAGCATTCCACTGAATATGTTTAAGATAACTTATTTATTAATTCTCCTGTGAGTAGGAATTTGAGTTATTTCCAGATTGACACTCAAAATTAAAAATGCTATGTACACTCTTTTTTAAAATCTGAACTCAAAGTACATATAATGATACAATTTTTTCAATGATTTTACACTGTTTAGTTCACTTTAAAGACTATTTCTTTTTGTTCCTATCATAATGAATGCTAAGCTGTCACCAATAACTGTATGAAAAACAGTTTTAGTTTCGAATGATGGAAAGCTTTCTAAATAATCACTAAAGCAAAATGAACATATAGTATAATATAATAATATGTATGTATCTGATTCAACTTCTAATGAACTAGTATGTCAGATGCAGGAGAGATCCTATTGCATAAAAATTAGAAATCTAATAACTATTACCATAGGTATTTATGGAGCCTTGTTATGTAGCAAACACTATTTTAAACATTTTATACTTCTCCAAGGCTTTTACATATATTTTTTGTTTATAATAGATAGCTACTAATTTTAATTTTCTGGTCATGTCATTTGATTCTCCCAACTGCACTATGAAGTAGTATTTCTCCCATTTTACAAAAGAGGATAATTAAGATGAGAGGCTTTAAGTAATCAGCCCATAGGCACAGTCAGCATAGCACCAATTACTGAACTCAGAAAGTCTGACTCCAGAGTCTGGAAGATCAACTGTGTCATATTTTCTGTTACTACCTGACCATTTGAGTTCTTTTCATTTCACTGACATTGTTTTATATTAACTTGTCCTCTGCAACTCATATGCACATTGTCCCACTTATTTTTTACTTAAGTAAAATTAGAGTAGATAATATATTTGTATTAATTTTAATATCTTCTTCCATAATCTGTGAACCAGATTTTTGAGAAAGTGGGTTTGCATCCTTATCTTGCCATCCTTTTCTATAGCTATGCTTACTTAAATGCAGTTCTCTTTGGTCTTAAAAAATTGTTATATGATGCTAAGGACAACACTTTCATAAAATCTTGACAAGTATATATTTTGTGTATACCTATTTGGAGTCTTTATCAACTGATTAAAATTAAGAGTTTTTATTTGGAGTGACAGATTTTTCTTATCATGATGACTGTATATTTACCATCTTGTGACATAATCACCTTGGTTTTCTATTTATTTTGAAAAGACTTTGAAAAAGTAGCTTCTGTAGGATTCCATAAACTGCTGACTTATTTTCTAAGGGCATGCATTGTTTGGCTGTTCAAAACTGAGAACAAAATCAAGATATTGATTTTAATTTCTCAATCATTATGCCATTGGGACCTTGTGTTGTAAAGCTTTGTGAGTAATTCCTTTGAGTGGTTTTCCTCCTCTTCAACCAGCTATCATCTAGGAAAAGCCAGTCAGCAAACTAAAATAGTTACAAAGCATCCATGGGATGAATATCTCTATCAAAAGCAACAGACATGGTTCTAGTAAGTTTTCTGTTTTGTTTATAAGAAGTTTGTTAATAAGTTTACAGATTTCTCTAGATAACTAGATGGTATGTGATTTTTATAGAATCAGCCTACTGATCAGGAATTACTAAAATTTTATACTACTGAAAGCTAGTTTATCAATGTATTTTATTTTTAAACTTTAACAAAAGTAGAGTGTCCTGTTTATGTGGAAAGGTGACATGGAAAAAGGCATGACTACTGTTGATAATGCTGTTACAAACACCAGGGTGCATGTATTCCTTTGAATTAGCATTCTTGTATTCTTTGGGCAAAAACCTAGTAGTGCAATTGCTGGGTCATACAGTTGTTCTATTTTTGACTTTTGGAGGAACCTCCATACTGTTCTCCAGAGTGGCTGCACCGGTTTGCATTCCCTTCAACAGTGCAGACAGAGGGGTTTCCCTTTCTCTGTGTCCTCACCAACACCTGTTGTTTTTTTGTGTTGTGAATTTAGATATTCTGACAGGTGTTAGGTGATATCTCATTGTAGTTTTGATTTGTATTTCCCTGATGATGAGTGATGCTGAGCAACTTTTCATGTGACTGGTGGCTACCTGATGTATAGCTTCTTTGGAAAAATGTCTATTCATGTCTTCTGTCCATTTCTTAACTGGAGTACTTGTTTTTTGGGTGTTAAGTTTTATAAGTTCTTTATGTATTTTGGATACTAACCCTTTATCTGCTATGTCATTTGCAAAGATGTAATACCGTAGGTTGCCTTTTAGTTGTTAAAGCATGTTAACACACTATTACCTGCCAAAAAATAGTTATTGTTGTGTTCTTCTTATTCTCAAGCAATTTTACAATCAAAATATCTATGTTTGAATTACAGATTTAAAATATGTTCTTTCTGCAGTCTTAGTCAAGTTGCTTAAACACTCTAAAGTTTGATTTATCTATATACTAGGCAAAAAGTACAACTACTTCATGGAGACTTGTAAAGATTAAATGAGAATGTAAATAAAATTTCTTGTCTGTACTTTGTTACTTTCCACACAAATAATCTGACTTCATCAAAGTCATTTCCCACACTGCTTCCTGTTTTTAAATTCTATGACCTTACCTTGCTTTTTTAGAATGCTGGGCACACCTTTTATTTATTTTTTAAAAAGATTTATTTCTTTTAGAGAGAAAGAGAGAGCAGTCAAGCACGAATAAGTTGGGGGAAGGGCAGAGGGAAAGAGCCTTCAAGCCAACTCCCCACTGAGCACAGAGCTCCATTCAGGACTCAGTCTCACAACCCATGAGATCATGATCTGAACTAAAACCAAGAGTTGGATGCTTAACCGACTGAGCCACCCACACGCACGCATCCCTGGCCACACATTTTAAAAATTCCACCCAATGCCTCTATAGTCGGTTATCTTCTGCTTTTCATATAGATGCTTCAAGTTGTTTCTTTTCCATCAAGTCCTCTTAGGGAACTGCAAACTACCTTGATCACTTCCTTGATGGCAGAGCCTACAAACACCGTCAAGTATTTTAGCACCTCACTATTTCTCAAATGGATTTTTAGCTCCTTAACATCAGTAACAATTACTTAAAAATATCTCACGGGGTACTAAAGAGAGTTCACCATTTGTAATCCCTTGAAAAATTGCTGCCTAGATGATTTATCATGTCATTCACTGAATTCAATTAGATTATACAATATTTTTGGAATATATTGTTAAATGTAGGGAACTTAGATGTAGGTAATTGGTTAAACACGATTTAAAATTATATACATAATATCTTTTCTAATTAATTTTTTCTTCTTTACCAAAACATTTTTTGCCTGTCTCTGATTTCTTTTAACTGTGTTTAATTCTATCACAGAGACGGTAATGCCATTACAACAGTTGACAAAGTGAACACATAATATACCAGGGTCAACATTAAAATATGAGAATGACGTCTGTTCCTTAAACACAATATCAGCATTGATATGAGAGGCCTAGAGCATGAGTTTTCAACCTTAGCTGCACAAGGAATACCTGAAGAGCTTTAAGAATGCTAATACTTTGCATCTTAAACCCAGAGACCTCCATTTAACTGAACTAACATATGGCTTCACAATGGGATATTTAGAAGTTAACCAGATGATTCTCATGAGCAATTAAAAATAAAAACCACTGGTGAGAGGCTTTTTTTTCTAGTTAGCATCTTCTCCCATTCACTTTTTTCTCACTGTTTTGCTTTAGGAACATGCTGCCCAATTAGATTTCAGGCCATTCATCTAACCATTCCTTGTCATCAGTGGCACCTCTGGCATACGTATCCATGTAGGGATGATAAGATGGTATTTTTCTGAAAATATCTTTATAATTTTAGTAGACAGTAATAGTATTCACATACTCTAGGAAAAAAAGGTAATAACTAAAATATCAAACTGGCAAGAAGCACAGAGAGGAGAAAAAGAAAGAAAAGTCTATAGCTGCATTAACCATAAATAAGAGTTACAGTTTCAGGCTACATGTACCTGATTGATGGTAGCCAGAACATCAGTGAAGCTGTTTACTTCTGATAAAAGCAGAGATATTATAGATTTTCTCAACAAGCTGCAACTTCCCAGGGTTACCAGACTCTGAGACACAAAATGCTGCACCTGAAACTAAAGATACAAATGAATAGATTTCTACTATCAAGTCAAGTCAAAATATATTTAGTGGTCAATTTCTAAGACTTTATTACTAAATCTATAGTGTCAGGAGTACAAAAGGTGTCAGCATAATTCTGTATCATTCTTTTTTTTTTAATTTTTATTTATTTATGATAGGCACACAGTGAGAGGGAGAGAGGCAGAGACACAGGCAGAGGGAGAAGCAGGCTCCATGCACCGGGAGCCCGACGTGGGATTCGATCCTGGGTCTCCAGGATTGCGCCCTGGGCCAAAGGCAGGCGCTAAACCACTGCGCCACCCAGGGATCCCAATTCTGTATCATTCTTAAGCAAATTATGAAATAGACAAATTATAACTTATGTAAGTTATAAAATTTTCTATAGCAGTTAATATTTTGAAGTATATCACAAAGTGCTGAAATGGAAGTTTTAGTTGAAGTATCAAAATAAATAATTATATTTAGAAGATAGACCATATAGAGAATGGATTAAGTAGATAAGACCCTTAAGCCCTTACCCACTAGATATAAGTATAGGTATAGATATATATAAAAGGTAAAAGAATGGAGTTTGAGGATATCTTTTGGGATAGATATTGGCGCACTATGAATTCCACCTCCACACTAGAGACAGGTGGGAAGGACTTCTTTGTTCTCCTTAAGTCAAAGGAGAGGCACTTTAGATAGAGGAGAAAACAATGCAGAACTCTAAATTTTCACCTAGAGGCAGCAAAAAGTACTCACCACTAAATAAATGTAAAAGGACAATGGGAGACAATAAACTATATCCCATATAATTATTAGGAGAAAGGCCATTTGATTATTATTTTTTTAAAGATTTTATTTATTTATTGAGACAGAGAGAGAGAGAGAGAGGCAGAGACACAGGCACAGGGAGAAGCAGGCATCATACAAAGAGCCTGACGTGGGACTTGATCCAGGGTCTCCAGGATCACGCCCCAGGCTGCAGGTGGCACTAAACCACTGCACCACCGGGGCTGCCCAAGGCCATTTGATTATTAATCACATTAAGGTGTGTATAACTCATAGCTGGAACTTCATTAAATATATCCCTTAAAATATCTTAGAGATAGGCTTCAAAAGTGTCTTGAAACAAAGAAACAGCACCTATCTTGCCATTGTTCTATATGAGATCAAAATAAAATTGAGGAGACACTGCTTTTGTATATAAAATTTAAATGACATTGCTAAATAATGCCACATGAAAAGAGGAAATGCCACCTGTGTCCTTTAAGATAAACATTTAATGTAGATATTTCTCAAATTGATACTTCACTAATGTAAAAGTTAATCAATGACAACAAAACAGTGAACAGATTATAAAGTTCAAAAGAAATTTCTCTTATAAATCTGGATGTGCATAACTAGTTCTTAATAATAGTTTTCTAAGTCAATTTGTCAACTTAATCCTAAATAACCTCATCAATCTATTACCATAGGAAATCACAGTTATTTTCATTGTTGCTTTTTAATAATGTAACTGGCTAAGACTCATACCCTCTGTAATTCTCCAGTGCCACTTTTTTGCAGATTTTTTACATTTTTCTTTGAACCTGAAAAAAGAATACCCTTATTTAAGCTCTAAAAAAAAAAAAATCTGTTGAGTAGTTCTCTGATGCTCTAGTTGTTTACTTACCTCGTTTCTTAATATTTAAGTCTTTGGGAGATAAAGTCAAGAAAAAATTCACAGTAAAATAAAAGGTACTTTAGAGAGTGAGAATAAAATTATGAGGGTAGTCACGGGGTTAGTTTGTGGAGTCTGGAATCTAACACTGCCTGAGTCAAATCTTAGCTCCACTGCGCATAGTACCAGGCACCTAGTAAGTATTCAATAAGTGTTACATGTTAATACAATGTACATTGGTAATAGAAAGCACTGATGGTTACAGGAGTTTAATTTGTTGAACCCTGGAAAGTTAAATACTAGAAATAAAATCTGTTTTCCTAGGGTTAATATAATCCTATTAGAGAACACTGCTCAAAAGAAAAGTTCATCATGAAGACCGTTTCCATAATCTAGATAGGAATTGTTATGGTCTCCCCAGTATGACTGAAGTTCATAAGAGAACAAAGACTAAGTATATAACTGTTAAGGCAACTTAAAATTATATGAACATTTTTATAAAAATGGCTTCTGTTCTTCCTTACATTTTAATTGACACTTGCCCTTTTGTAAAAACAGTGGAACTTTTGAAAGAGGGTAGCATGGAAGCTAAGGCTTACAATGTTATAGGAGAGGCTACTGTGGTAGAAACATGGAAGGTCTCACTCAACACACGTGCCATCTTTTTTTGTTCTAGCTCATATTCCCATGATTGCGGGGACTGGAAGCTAAAAATAATTTTCCCCAGATTCCTGTGCAGTTCGAATTTTGGATATTATTTGAGTTCTGCCAATCAGAAGTACTCATTTGAGACCTTGATTTAGAAGTGCATTATTGAAAAAGAGAAGCAGTACACATGGTATGCATTCTGTTGATGCAGACTGTGGCAGAGATAACATGGTTCTGGCTTATCTTGCAGCTGGTTTAGAGGCTCCCTGCTTTTGCAAGTTCTTAATCCTGACAGAAGCAGTAGCATGCTACCTTGATGGCCCAGTGGTTTAGGGAGTCATTTCTATAAACTCAGCCTCCTCAAATACCTGTAAACTCAGCCAAACCAAATGTGCTTTGATCTACATTTACATACTCCCCTGGAGGATTCACAGAGCCCAGTGCTGATGTTCCAGTCTTGAAATATGCAGAGACGGAGATTCCTACCACATGCTCAATACATATGTGTTGTATTGTCTATTTGACCTGTGTAGAAGATAGAAAGATCTTGGAGGATGGCAGTGAATAAGCACAAACTTCATCAAGGGTGTTTCTAATTCATAGTGATATTCTAGTTGTAGTTCCTTTCCTGGCATAATCAACACTGCTTCTGATATTTGTTAGGTCTTAATCTGGGATTTTTTTCTTTTTTACTATCTCAATAAGGATAAAATGAAGCAGTGTGCATTCATTTAGGAGGTATCAGTATACTTTTCTGTCCTATTTAAGGCCATGTCAATTTGCTGGCTCTGTGTCATTATTTAGTTTCATAGGATTCTGATCAATCAAAATGTTCCACAGGACACTATGGTAGTGTACTGTGTATATATATATATATATCATATTGATATGGCAATTATTTTAAAGGCACTGGTAAAATACATATATTAGGATAAAGTAAACCCCAGGATTCAAGTACCTGATACACTTGGGACATTTCTGGGTCTGATACATGTTGGAATACCACTTCCAAAGTGAAACAGAAGTTGCTGTAATGTATATTTCCTATCAGTAATTAAAATATATAATAAGTGATGAGCATTTGTGTATATGTGAGGCAACATATATTCATTTGGGTTTACCACCTGGATGCACATATTGAGTAAATCATGTCTATAAACTCTGAGAAGAGCCCAGAGTAGTATAAAGAGCTCTAGCTGGTCTAAGCTGAAGAGAAGCTCTGCCACTTGGACCTTATGACTGATAATATCCAATGTTCTTGGAGCTGATCAGTAACTACATGAAGCCTGCAGTTGACCCTAATGAGAAAATCACAAAGGAGAACCCTTGGTTTGGGGAGAAAGTCAAATCTTTTTTGACAAGTAAATATAACATTATATATATATATATAGATATAGATATTTACATATATATAAATATATTCATTAAAAATCTATTTGTATATATAACTTTCTTTTTTTAATAATAAATTTATTTTTTATTGGTGTTCAATTTGCCAACATACAGAATAACACCCAGTGCTCATCCCGCCAAGTGCCCCCCTCAATGCCTGTCACCCATTCACCCCCACCCCCGTATATATAACTTTCTTGACAAGTAAATAGTTATATCATAGTGAATATAGTATATATATTAATATGTAAGTATATTCATTACATATATTTGTATATACAACTACATAAATATATTTACATATATTATATATTATATATTATATATTATATATTATATATTATATATTATATATTTATATATTTATATATTTATAAAATATATATTTACTATATATTTATATATAACAGTTATAACTATGCTATATATATGTATGACATATATTAAACATATATATATTGTTATAAAGAGATATAATACAGTTATGCATATTTTATATATATAATATAGTTATACATGTTTATATATATATATAAAATTTGGCACTACTGGAGATTAAATGACTGCCTCATCATGTGACATCAAATGATTATATGCCCAAAGCTGCTCATTTGAACAGTGTCAGGTATACACAGCAATACTCCATCATCAAGTAAATGTACTATATATGAAATTGTGATCAAGCAGGAAATAAAACGAGAAACTGCTCACTGCTTGAGCAGTTAGCTCCAACTAGAATACTACTCTTTATAAGGTTGAATTATAGGAAATTTATGTTCTAAACCAATGACCAATATATGATGTGCTTTCCCTGATAGCCAGAATATATGAATTCAGGAACCAAGGTATAAAAGAGCCTGGGAACTCAATATTATATCTAATGATTCACTGGTAAAGTATTCTTCATACCCTGTGACACTGGATTAAGTTTTATTTTTTTTATTTTTTTATTTTTATTTATTTATGATAGTCACAGAGAGACAGAGAGAGAGAGAGAGGCAGAGACACAGGCAGAGGGAGAAGCAGGCTCCATGCAGGGAGACCGATGTGGGATTCGATCCCGGGTCTCCAGGATCGCGCCCTGGGCCAAAGGCAGGCGCCAAACCGCTGCGCCACCCAGGGATCCCCAGGATTAAGTTTTAGAGGTCTAAATAAGAAAGTAAAAATGGTTCCTACAAAAGGACCCAACAATTGTTTCATGAACCAGAGGTTGAGATTTCCACCTGGCTATATGGAGTTCTTTTACAACTCTGCCAATGGCCAAAAAGGGGGCTCCTGTGTAGACTGGAGCAACTGGTCTCTGGTTGA